ACTTACACTGGTTTTTTGAGGGTCTGCCGTGGATGGATAGTCATTTTTTTCATTGATATCTTTACATTATTTCTAGATGTTGTACAAATTGTACAATTGTTAAGAATGATTTCAGTTCAGTTCAGTCACTCAGTCATGTCCGACTCTTTGCGACCCCATGAATCGCAGCATTCCAGGCCTCCCTGTCCACCACAGACTCTAAGAATGATTTAATAAAAGGTAAAAAGGCTGGAAGGCTACAGGGGTCATCCTGTCTAAATGAACACAAAGGAAGACTCTGGCATCTAAATGACCCTCGGTCTGTGGATGGAGGGGGCTGTTTCGAGGTGGCTGTGGGCTGACTCGCTGCGTGTGAGAATAGCGTGGTCTCTGGGTGCTTTTGGGAGGAGAGGGGGCCCCTGCACCTGTATTCGGTCTTCGGGGAGTTCAGTCTTCACGGCCAGCATTTCCCGGGCATACACATCAGGGTAGTGGGCCTCACTGAAGGCCTTCTCCAGCTCTTCCAGTTGGTGGGTGGTGAAAACGGTCCTGCAGGGAGGCACATGGGCACATGACCACAGGAGGCAGCCAGGCTTCCCAGCCTCAGGGGACCCCATGCCTGCTCCCCACCTCATGAGAGCTGGGCACCCCACCTCCAAATGGGTAGCCTCTGGGAAGTCCACAGTTTGGTTCAAGCAAAACGGAGCTCTTTAGGTCCTTTTTTTTCTTCTCAATAAATTCCACCAACTCATTTTAAGAAGACCTATTTTAAGGGCCCACAAAATTGTGTCTTCAAAATGCTCCAAGGCCTAATAGTGCTGTGCTCAAAATGCTCTGGCAGTCTTGTGGTTAAGACTCTGCTTCCAATGCAGGCGGTTCCATTCCTGATTGAGGAACCAAGATCCCACATGGTGTGGCAAAAAACTCTTTAAAATAATCATCATCATCATTAATAAAATGCTACAAAGGCTGACCTGCAGCCCCCAGGAATGGCACAATTACATTCCCAGATGGCTACTGTGTCCTTTCCCATGCTGCCCCAAGGCAGGACCAGACCTTCTCAGGCACAGGGTCTCAAGGAAGGTGGGGTGAGGAATGCCATGTGGGATCTTAGTACCTGTGCCTCCTCTTCTTCCTCTTGCTGGGGACCGGGGACGCCTTCCGGTCACTCCTGTCTTCAGAAGGGCTATCCTCATCTGTTAGCACAAGGAGAGGAAGAGGACTTTAGAGGTGAGCACATTTTTCATTTTGCCCTCTGGATTTTAATTTGAGGATTGAAGCTATGAACTTGTCGGGGATGTTAATATTTAACAAGACAAGATTACAGTTTTCACATCTGATGACATATTCCAAGTGCTGCGCTTAGCTGACTGCCCATGCATATCAACATTATTCTTCATAAATTAAAAAAACTCCATGACAGCTGCTATTATTATCCTCTTTTTACAGAGGAGGAAACCAAGGCACACAGAGAGATTAACTTGTCCAAGATCACAAAGGTTGTCAACAGTGAAGTTGGGATTCAAACCCCAGATGTGTGTGAAGCTTAAGCTACTTGAACACTAATTGCATTTCCTGTTCCCTTCAGCTTCCAAATTCATACACTTCCTTCTGCTTCCATCTCACGTTCCTTATCTTAGCCATTACACCAACCCTTCTCAAGGTGAGGACTGAGGTTTGTGACATCAAAACCCTCCTCAGAGCTGGCCCCTGCCCTGTTGTACCGATTTCAAATCTCTGAAAGTGGGACCTGGGAAACTCATTCTTGGCAAGGGTGCCCAGATGATTTCACAGATGTGCGTCAAAAATTTTAAGAACCCACTCCCCTATGCTTTATCTTTTGAAATCCATTATATTGAAAGATTTAGGCTGAAAGAAAGTTTAGAAGACCAAACTATGGTCAGGTTTGTTGTTAAAAAGCATATATGTTTCAAAATACTAAATGTAAATTAACAAAGGCAAAAGTAGTAAAATAATATCAGTTTTACTCCTACATCAGTGAGTTCACCAGAAAATTGGATTATGATATTATACTATCTGTGCTGTCCAATCTGATACCATTAGATACATAAGGTTATGGAGCCCTGAAATGTGGCCAGTCTAAATTGAGACCAGCTGTGAGCGTGAAATATCCAATGAACTGAAGACAATAGACCCCCAGAGTAAAATATTAATAACTCTTAAATTGATTACACATAAAATGACAATATTTTGTAGGTATCACATTAAATGAGACATAGTATTTAAATTTGTTTCACCTATTTATTTTTCCTTTTTATTGTGGCTCTAAGAAACTTTCATTACACTCACAGTCACATGGTGTTTCCACAGGACTGTATTGGTCCTGATCTTGAGAAATACCCTCACAGGCTAGGATGTGGTTGTATTTTGCCTTAGCTTTATGGGTCCTCGCAGGGAAAAAAAATCCACAGTATGAAATCGGTTCCTGCATTTTTAGGAAGGGGGCGGTTATTTGCTAGATACTGGTGGTAATGAACCCCCCTGCCAATGCAGGAGACACAAGGGGTGCATGTTCCATCCCTGAGTCCGGAAGATCCCCTGGAGGAGTGCATGACAATTCACTCCAGTATTCCTGCCTGGAGAATCCCATGGACAGAGGAGCCTGGCGGGCTACGGTCCATCAGGTCTCAAAGAGCCGGACAGGACCGAAGCAACTTGGCACCTAGTAGACACTCATGAAATAAAGTCCTCTCAGAGTGGGTGTCTGCTGACTGCGCCTGCTTCCTTTAATCAGCAGTGGAGACCAGCGCAATTTCTGCATTCAGCCACCTGGATGCTCAGCTCTGCGGTCTACTATCACATAGCTGTTCTCCCTGTAACTCTTCCGAAATTCTCCGTTCTCTTCCCCCATGTCCCAAACCTCTCGACTTCTCCGCCCTGTCTTTGTCGATTTCCACTGCTCTCTGCTTTCCCCCACAGTCCGTGCCGACTTCTCTGAGAATCTGGGCACAGCTGCTGTAAGACGGGCGAGTTCGCTTCCCCGGTGCGTAGAGTAGGGGAGAAGCGGGGTGCCCAGACTCACTCTTCAGCACCCGGAGGAGTACAGATCCAGGCCTCCGCCCCGCGCTTAGTCAAGAGCCTGTCAATCCGTCAATCAATTCGTCTAATCCCTCCTGGAGTCGGCGGGTACCGGGTTCCGTGCAGCTGATGAACGAGGAAGGCCCACCCAGGTTTCCTGACCCCTGCGGCACCCAGAGGCCGAGCCACGCGTGGCGGAAAGTGTTCCCCGGAGGTTGGGTCGCTGAGACCCCAGGACCGGTCCGGATCGGGTGGTGGTGTCCGCGGGGTGGCGGCGACCAAGCCCTGAGGAGAGGCTGGGGGTGGGGGTGGAGGGGGTAGAGGGTGCGGGTGCGAGAATGAGCTCCCGGCACGGCTACGCTCTGGGGTCCCCATTTCTGCAGACCTGGGGGGCTGGGGTGGGGCCCGACAGGGCGCCAGAGTGTCACTCTACCCACCCGAGCAGAGGGAAGAGACAGTAGGGGCGCGGGCTGGCCTTCTTACCGGACGTCGACACGCTCTCGCTGCGTTTCTGGCGGGCGGCCAGGGGCGGTAGTCGGCCGGGGACCAGCGGGGCGGGGGGCTCAGGCCCCTCCGGCGGCAGGAAGGGCACGTCGGCGAGGAGCAGGCAGGGTGCCCGGGCGGGCGCACGGGGCTGCGCGCCGAAGCCGCAGAGGAGGCCGAGGCCCAGCGGAAGGGCTCCGCGTGCAGGGCAGGAGCCTCCGAGCCCTGGGCCGGCGCGGGGCGCGGCTGCCGGGCCTTCGCACCCAGATCCCGGCCCCGGGCCCGCAGGTGCGGGCAGCTCGGCCTCCAGGCCCAGCAGGTCGGTGATGGCGAAGCCCCGGGGGCGTGAACCGGTGGGCGGGCCTCCGGGCACCAGCGCCCTGCTTCTGGCACGCCCGTCGGAAAGCGCGTCTCGGCCGGTCATGGCTTCTCCGGCGGCGAGGCTGGACCCTCTCGCCAGTCACTTTCGCGGAGGGGGCGCAGCTCTGAGGGCGCTTTATACAATCGGGCGCCTGGAGGGCTCCAATCAGCGCGGCGCGGACGCGTCACGCCCGGGACCCCGCGACATGGGGACGCCACCTGCCCCCCTCCCTTAGGTCGCCGCCCTCCCAGCTGCGATCCCCTCCATCAGCACCCTCTCCTCTCTCCTCTCCAGTCGTCCCCCCTACCAAGCCCACCCCGGTTCTCGGCGCGAGTCGTCCCCTCCCTAAACCTCTAAACGCCGAAAGTTCCAGACTCCTTCGGAGTCTTCTCTCCCCTTCCGGGTGGATTCCCCGGTGAGGGCCCGGCGCAGAGCCGCTCTCCCCGCACCCAGTCGCCCATTAAGACCAAGACTCCGTTCCCAGCCACAAATCTCCCCACTACCGCCAATATGAACCCCGCCAGCCCACCAATGCCACCGCCTGAGCCAAGGCCTTCCCTGAAAATCCCCAAGGGAAAAGGAGTGGAAAACATTTATTTAATCCGTGCCTACTCCATCTCCAGCCAAACCCACCCCAGCGCTCTAGCGGCCGGACTGTCCCGAGTCGCAAAATTCACGGGAGTTGAAGAAGTAGAGACAGGCCTGAGCGGGCTGGCCGGGCCAGGGCAAGGGCGCCACGTTTAGCAAAGGTACAGGAGGTCCAGTGAAAGCGAAATTTCAGATGAACAGTGAATTTTTAAATTATATGTATGTACCAGTATATTATCTGGCGAGACCTAAATGGGGAAGGTACGTTGGAAAATAGGGCGTGTCTACTGGGACCCACCCCACACAGAAGCTAGAAAATTATTGTCAGATTTTATAATTTTTCTAAGAAAGCCTGATTTTCACGTGAAGCGCCCGTATTTGTTAAAGCTGTCTCGAAACGCAGCACGTGGGTAAACCTCTCCTGGTTCCCACTGGGAAAATCCGAGCCTACCCAACCCGAATTGCTCGGATCCCATCCTTTTCAAACCCGGGATCCGGGAAGCCAAACCTCTCAGTACAGCCCTTGAGAGAGGGAGCGGCGGGTGGGCGCTCAGCGAGGGGTGCGGCAGCTCTCCCAGCGCAGCGTGGGCGCCCGGTGGGTCTCTGCGCACACCCCGCGGCGAAGCCCGAGCCGAGCCCGAGCTCGAGCCGAGCCGAGCCGGAGCCGTGACTAGCCGGAGCCGAGAAAGATCCCGAGCTGGAGCTGAACCCGGTAAAGTCGGCGCCCCCGGGTGGGTCCTCTGCAAACCACGGGATTAAGTGAGGGGCTTCCGATAAAGATAATTACAAGAGGCTGCGCATTAACTTTTCATTATTAAAAGAAGACCCAAATCTCCCCCCTCGCAAGCTGTTCCTGGGATTAGCAAAACCATAACTTTCCTTTAGGATAATTGTCATTTGAGTCGCTCGGGGCTGGGGGCGGCTTTAGGGATCAGCGTCGTTTTGGGCTCTGCCAGGAATTTCTTCCCAAATTTATCTCTGGGTTTAGGGGAAAGTGTTGGGGGGTACAAGATCCAGCCACGATGCTCTGGCTCTCGGCCCGGCAGAGCAGGAGTTAGTAAATCAGGATTTGGGGCCGCAGTCAAGGAAGACTGCTAAAGATGCACACAACTGCAAACATCCTGGGCAGGAAGGTGGGACAACCGGACTTGAGGTGGCCGATCCTGGGGCCTTCGCAGGGGCTGGTCTCAGAGGCTGACGTGTGTGCTCCCTGTCTGCAGGTTGGAGGGCCGACGGCACCCGCTGGCCTGGGCCGCGGTCTCGAAGTTTCTGTCCCCCAGTCCCTACCAGAGCAGGCCTCGAATAGATGGCCAGGGACTCCCGGGGTTCCAAAAGGCCGGCCGAAAGGAGCCAAATTTCGACCGCCGCTGAGTGCCAACAGCACACTGGTTTCCAACCCCTTAGGAAGGATATTACAAAACCCATTTTGCAGATGAGACAAACTGAGGTGTATTTAACCCGCTCACACCTGACACGCAAAGAGAAATCAAGAAAGTAAAGTGAAACAGAGGAAAGACCCGGGGTGGGAGTTATAAGGAGGTCTTGCAATTCCTGGACGGAAGAGTCACTGCCGCCCGCTCCGACCCCACCTACAGGAAGGCGCTCGCGGGAGGGACCAGGATGAACCGAGAGCTGAGCCCCAGGCGCCTTCCTTTCCGCCGCCCGGTGGCTGCGGGGGCGCTGCAGGGGCGGGCAGTCTCACTGCCCCCTCTCTTGTAAGAATCGTCCCCACTCCGCCACGCTAATCTGCGCCCCTACGCCCACCCGCAGGCGTTGCGTGGGATCGTGGGTCCGCTAGGGCCACAGCCCCTGGGGATCGGGGCTGGCGCTCCGCCCAAAGTCGGCGCAGTGAGGGAAGTGCGCCCAGTGTTTCAGGAGAGGTGGAGGGAGTGAGCCGGCCCTGAGCCCACCCACAGTGCACTGTCTCCCGGCACCCTGGCGGGTGTCTCGAGTCCAAATAGTGTTGGGCGACAGCATTGGGGAACGGTGGAAGGAAAGCGCCTCCCAGCCCGCTCCCAACATAGACGAATCTGAGGACAGAGCTGGAGCCCGCTCCATCGTCCCCGCCCGGGTCACCCACCCCCCTCAAGTCAGTTTTTGAAACCCTAAATCCGTTAAGGGGTCCGGGTCTGCCTTCATCAACCAGGATTATCTAGGATTTAACTAATCAGTAAAGGTTTCTCCGCTCATTATTTTCCAGGAAAGGTTTCCAGCCGCTGTCTGTGGCCAACCACCAATGTGCGCTCTACTTCCCTCTCTCCGCCTGCCTGGAGGCGTCCCGGCTCTTGCCCACACCAGGCCGAGAGGCTGGCCCGGATGTAGGTGGCTCAGGGAAACCAGTCTCAGGCTTTGGGGAGCCGCCCCCTCACCAGGCTGCTAGTATAAGCGCAGCTGCGCTAGGAGTGGGATTCGCACTGCGGGAATAAAGAGCATCTCTGTGTATCTATGCCAAGATGTCCTAGGGCTCTGCGCCTCTGAATTTTCCTCCACCTCTGTCTCCTCCTTCTTCGTGGCTTTTTTTTTTTTTTTTTTTTTTGGTCGCCTTTAATGGCTGTTGTAGTGAGGCTCTTTGGTCCTCTTCACATCGGTGCCCTGACCATTCTGCCTGCAGCCTGCAGTTCCACAGGCTGCAGTGCCCAGGCCCCACATCTTTGCCTGCGGGCTTTCTTTGATCTCCAGAGTCTGCTGGCCAGAAATACCAAGGGGTGACATGCCCTGAGAAGTCCAGGACCAAAGATAGCAGGAGTCAGAGTATAAACACCGCCCCAGGTGTTCGGTGAGATAACTCAGGCCTCCCAGAAGCTCCCAGCTGAGTCTGCACCAGTTATCACTAATTGTGTGTGGTCAGTTGCTTCAGTCGGGTCTGACTCTTTGCGACCACGTAGACTATAGCCCACTTGGCTTTGTCCCAGGAATTCTCCAGGCAAGACTGCTGGAGTGGGTTGTCATGTCCTCCTCCAGGGGATCTTCCCCATCCAGACATGGAACTGAAGTCTGCCTGCATTTCCTGCATTTGCAGGCAGATTCTTTACCCACTGGGTACCTGGGTACCCAGGAACCCCTGGGAACCCCAGGGGAACCCCTTGTCACTAATTATCACATCCCAAATTGCTTTCTTCCTAAGTGCTGTGGTTGCCCCTTTCCAGAGCTCTTGAACCTCCCCCACCCTACACCACCCAGCCCCACACCCCACACTGCACTCCAGTGCAGGCTCTTACCCCTAGTCAGGAGAACCACATTCTGCTGACAAAATCCTCTAATCCGAGCCACACCACCCACAGGCACACCCACATAAACAGTGGTTGATAGACTGAAATGACAGTGGTACAAGGCTGCCCCCTTGCTCTCACAGGAACGACTCTGCAGAGCTATCTCTGCTTCAAACCCCTCTCCACTCACAGGTCAGGCCAAGGCTTAACTGGACCCAAGTGTTCATCCATGTCCACCCTTTCCCTCCTCTCTGGCCCCCTCACTACTGAACTCCGCCTCCCTCCATAAAGCTCATGCATCCAGGCCAGGTTTGTAGCTCTGCTTCTAGAGACCCACTCCATCTCACTGTCACACTCCCCTACTGGTGTTGCCTGAAGTCTCCTCCCAGATAAATGCTTGTCCAGGGGCTCAGAGTCCACTCTGTGTTTTGTGCAGCAGCAGTGGTGAGTGCCCAGTGACTTCTCTGCACTCCCTGGTGCCCCCTCACTGTTCCCTGCATAATTTGGCCTGGCCTGCCATAGCCCTACTCTTTTTCTCCAACCTTCCATTAGTCTGGAGAAAAAGAAAACAGTGATGCCATCCTGTAAATTTCTCTGGAACATGAATTGGCTGGATGTGGTTTGCATCCAAGAGCCCTGTCTTGGGCACTGGGCTTCCATCTCTGGCATCTCCCCCACCTTCTCTGTGCCCCTCTCCATGCCCCAGAAATCCATCTTTATTCCACAGCTATTGTGACCCTGCCATGGAAGCCCTGGCCAAAGGGTTCCTCTGGCTGAGTCCTTCCCAGATTCCCTTCCTCCAGCTAGAAAAATCTCTTCTGGGCCAGGTGCTGTGCTAAGTGCTTGACTCATGTCAATGAATTTAATACTTGTGATAACCCTAATAAGCAAGGTCTATTATTATCACCATTTGTGGTTGAGAAAACTGGGCAGAACTGTAATGAGGCTGGCAGGGAGTAGAGAGGTCCAGACCTAATCCTGACTGTCACACTGGAAGCATCTAAGTCACGATGTGGAACATGACAATGTCAGGGGTTCCTTACACTTGTCTGAGCTTTAGCATTGGACTTGTCTTTAATGTCCTGTGAAGCCCTTAATCTTGCATTGCTATAGGTGCTGTTAGTGCCTGGTGCCATGGGCTCAAGGCAGATTTCTTTTTTTTTCCCCTCATCTGTTAATTCACTTATAATGTGCTTTATTACTTAACATAGATCACGACTTTGTGTATCATCAAATATGCATTTAGGACATCATTTTCAAAGGCATTTGTCCCTTCCAGACACACACCTTCAATCCATCCTTCATGGCTGCCTTTGGTTTACTTTAGAAGAGAGGTGTGAAGTAAACATCTTCTTTCTCCTGGTTTCTGAAACTTCCTCACCTGCCAATCATTATGTGAAGCCATGTGACCCCAGAGAGGGCTGGGGTTGTGTGGACTGAAGGACTAGGGGGAACCCTGGAAAGAGTTCTGAGAGCAAAGCATCACACAGCCCCAAGGCCACCATGTGATTTCGTCAACCACTAACCTCCCACCTCCCCTTCCCGAAGGGCCCAGGACTAGGCAATGGAGGGCCACGCCCCTTCCAGGGGAGCTGCTCCCCCGGGGACCAAGCTGACAGTCAGGCAGGTTTCTGCAGGAGGCTCCGGTGCCCATGCTCCAGCTCTTCTCTTTAGGTCCTGAGGTTAACGGGGAAACCCCAGGTAGGGACCCAGGTAACCCTTTGGCCCCCTAGAACTGTATTTTCCTTCTCTCTGCCCTGACTCCTCCCACGTCTGTCCTCTTTCCTCTTCATCCCCACCCCCTTAGCTCCTCCCTCACTTCAGCCCCTCAAAACAGCTCATGGCCACACTCCTCAAGTCCCATCTGCTCCCCCAGGAATCCCAGGTCGGTAGAACTCAGGAGACAACACAGCACCCAACATGGATTGAGGAATCCCTGAGCAGAGACTCCAAAACATCTGCGTAGCCTCCACAGGGGGATAGGGACCAGCAGATGGAAACAGGTGTGTTCCTTGGACATGGGGCGGGGGAGGCATGATATTGGCCATATCAGCCAAAAGGTTATGGGGAGAGGTCACCAACGGCAGGTGGGAGCTGTGGGTGACTTTCCGGTGTCAAGCATTCGGTCATCTACTGGTAATTGAGAAACCTAATAGTAAATAGCGTCTTGTTAGCCCGTTGTCAGTGACTGAACACACGATCACCATCCTAACTCACATGTAGTCACTCTTCGCCAGGGTGAGAAGGATTCTCCCAGGGAGGTGGGGCTGCAAGTTCCCTGCTGGACACAGCGTCTCCCACCAGAAGGAGGTCCTCCTTCCTCCACTGCGCTCGCTCCCACCTGCTCCCCCAAAGGCTCCCCCACAACTGTAATCACTCCTTTGCCTGCTGGTTTACTGCACTTTACCTGGCCCCCTTATGAGATGCCCAAGCTGGCACTGTCTGCTGTCTTTCCCATCAACCCACCCCTCTGCTTGACGATGTTCATGGCCCCAGGAGTGCAGCAGCCAGGCCTGGGGGCCTGGGGAGGTAAGCCCCCAGCAGCCACCCTCCATGGGTGATTGGGAGTTGGTGGGCAAATACCCCCGCATCCTCGTCCCTGGGGGCTGAAATGGGCTCCGCACAGTTGTCCCAAGGGCCTGATCAGGAGAGGACCCACAAACCCCACTCAGTATCAGAGCCTTCTCTGTGTCCTGCCCCTCATCAGGACTGAATAGTTTTATCTTCCAGATGAACTAGTTCACCCGGTCCCTGTCTCAGGGCCTGCTTTGGGGGAGAGGGGACCCACTCCTGGACAGTCCGTTCACTTCAGTTCAATCGCTCAGTCGTGTCCGACTCTTTGCAACCCCATGGACTGCAGCATGCCAGGCCTCCCTGCCCATCGCCAACTCCCGGAGTTTACCCAGACTCATGTCCATTGAGTCGGTCAACCATCTCATCCTCTGTCGTCCCCTTCTCCTCCTGCCTTCAGTCTTTCCCAGCATCAGGATCTCTTCCAATCAGTCAGTTCTTCGCATCAGTTGGCCAAAGTATTGGAGTTTCAGCCCGTAAACTCCACAAAACCAGGGCCTTCCTGGCGCCTGTGGGCCGGATACTCAGCTCACCGCCCAGATTTGCGGAGGAAATGAATCCGCCAAGGGTGGATGAGAGCTTGAGGTGGGGGGCCCTCCCGCCTGCCCCCCCACCCCCAGGGGAACCTTAAGTATTCCTCCCCTCCCTCTCTCCCTCCTCCCTTGCCTCCCCCCTCGCCTCCCCCACTGCCAGGGCCGAGTCTGAGGAGCGTGGACTGAGAGCTCCTCCCGAGTACCCCTAAGGCTGGAGGGGCCGGAAGGACACCCCCCCCACCCCCACCCCCACCCCCGCCCCCGCCCCCGCTTCAAAACCGCAGTCCAGCCGGGCCACCGGCCCTCGGCTCACAGGACTGGGCTGTGCGCTTGACGCCTGACTTCTGCCTCTGTACAAGGCTGTTTGGCTCACCGCTTCCAGCGGGGGTTTGGGGATGTGTGCGCGGGGCCGCCTCCCCAGGACTGTGTTTGGTTCGCGCGGGGTCTCCGCCAGCAGAGGCCGAGGCCGGCGGGGGCGCACGCGGTGACCTCCGGGGCCTGGCCACGCGCTGGGGGAGCGGTCCGAGTGCAGAACCGCGCTCACTGCCCCAGACATGCGATCTTTACCAAGAGTGGAGGAGGGAGCGGGAAAGGAGAAGTCCAGACAGTCCTCCATCGCGGCACCGTTAGCCGAACCGCTTCCTCAGCGCAACAGAGATAGGTCTGTTCAGAGGAAAGGGCGATCTCTGGGACACAGAGTTCCTCAACGCGGTTACAGGCCAGGCTATCAACTGCCCAACCGACAGAGCCCTTCCAGAGCTCTCTGCTCCGGGTCCTCTGGCCCTTGATCAGAGGGACACTCCTTGCCTCCAGGGTACTCACTGTGAGTTCTCAGCCCCAGGTCCCCTGCATTTCATTTGTTTGGAGAAATTATAAGATTTTATCCTTTTTAGTATTACTACTCCTCCATCACTTCATGGCAAATAGATGGGGAAACAGTGGAAACAGTGATAGACTATTTTGGGGGGCTCCAAAATCACTGCAGATAGTGACTGAAGCCACGAAATTAAAAGATGCTTATTCCTTGAAAGAAAAGCCATGACAAACCTAGACAGCATACTAAAAAGCAGAGACATTTCTTTGCCAATAAAGGTCCATCTAGTCAAAGCTATGGTTTTTCCAGTAGTCATGGATGGATGTGAGAGTTGGACTGTAAAGAAAACTGAGCGCCGAAGAATTGATGCTTTTGAACTGTGGTGTTGGAGAAGACTGTTGAGAGTCCCTTGGACTGCAAGGAGATCCAACCAGTCCATCCTAAAGGAAATCAACCCTGAATATTCATTAGAGTGACTGATGCTGAAGCTAAAACTCCAATACTTTGACCACCTGATGTGAAGAACTGACTCATTTGAAAAGACCCTGATGCTGGGAAAGATTGAAGGTGGGAGGAAAAGGGGATGACAGAGGATGAGATGGTTGGATGGCATCACTGACTCAACGGGCATGAGTTTGAGTAAACTCTGGGAGTTGGTGATGGACAGGGAGGCCTGGCGTGCTGCAGTCCATGGGGTCGCAGAGTCAGACATGACTGAGCAACTGAACTATGACTATGACTCCACCATTATGTTAGTAGGGTGATGCTGGGAATGAGTTAGGAAGAGTATTCCCTCCACTTCTATCTTCTGAAAGAGATGGAAGAGAATTAGTGTCCATTCCTCTTTAAATGTTCACAGTGAACCCATTTGGACCTGCTTCTTTTTGTTTGGGAAGGATATGGATTGCCCGCTTAATTATTTGACAGGTACAGGCCAATTCAGGTTGTTTATTTCTTCTCACAGAAATTTTGGCAGGTTGCGCCTTTCAAAAAATCGATCCATTTCCTCTGTGTTATCAAGCTTGTGGGCATACAGTTGCCACAAGCAATACCCTTGTATTTTTATTCAAGGGTATCTGCTTCTAAGGGAGAAACTGGTTCTAGTTGTCTCATGTTAGGGAAGTAAAACTCCAACCAACATAGAGAAAGATAACTGATTCACTGGGCGACAAGCTAATAGAACATAAGTGTGTAAGTAGCTTGCAAGAGACTACAAAGTCAGAATAAAATCCCACACAATTTATACAGCATAGAGACTCAAAGTCCACAGGAGAATCAAGACAGCTATTTGTTTAGCTAACCTCCTCTGAAAAGGATAATAAAACTTCCTTATCGCCAAAAAAACAAATGGTTACACCATAAGATATGATGCTACATCAACTCCGAATTTCAAGTGGGAACCAACAGAAATGTCTGAATTTTAAAATAGAGTTTTTCTAGTCCCTGGAGAGACTTATCTACTTTCCAAAGGTTTGAGAAATGACCCAAGCCACTGTGTCCCCCAAATAGACACTTTAAGAAGGGAAGAGTGAGAAAACCGCCTCTTCCCCCTTTATTCACTTTTATTTACCCTTACACTGCCTTATGTGGACTCAAGTCCTTTCCTTCTATTAAATAAAATCCCCTCAATGTTGTATTCTGGTTTGGGTTCCAGAATAGAAAAAGAGCACTACTGGGAAAAGTCTGAATAGAGGGTGAGGTTAATTAATAGTGATGTGCCAGTGTTAATTTCTTCATCTTAATAAACATACCATGGTTGTGTAAGATGTTAACACTTGGTCCTGAAGTGGGTATGATTTTGTGTCTACCCTTTAACACCAAGCTTTGTTTCCTACAGCCCTCCACTTCTGTTTACAAGCCCTACTGGTCTGCAAAGTCAGAGGTTCTGGGGGCCAGTCTTCCCAGTGCAGGACCCCCCAGGGCTGGGGAGCCTGATGTGGGGTTGAGACCCCTCCCTCCTGGGGGAGAACCTCAGCAACTGTGATTATCCTCCTGTTTGTGAGTCGCCCTCTTGGAAAATGAGTCCTGACTGTGTGTCTGCCTCTTCTACCCATCTCATTGTGGTTCCTTCGTTTCGTCTTTAGTTGTAGATCTATCCTGCTAGTGTGCAAGTTGTTCCCTTTGATTCTTGCTCTGTAGATACTTGTCATTTGGGAGATGGTGAGTTCAGGGGTTTTCCACTCCCTCCTGTAAAACATATAGTCTTTTCAACAAATGATACTGGAATAATAATTGGACATTTGTAGGCAAAATAAATAAATAAATAAATCGAGACACAGACCTTACACCTGACCCCGAAATTACCTCAAGATGGACCATAGACTTAAATGTAAAGCACAAAACTATAAAACTTCCTGGAAATGATCTAGGAGAAAACCTGGGTGACTTTGTGTTCGGCAATGAATTTTTAGAAACAACACCAACAAAAACACTATCAATGAGAGAGAAAAATAAGTTGAAGTTTATGAAAATTAAGAATGTCTGTCCTATGAAAGACACTTAAGAGAATGAGAAGACAAGATGCAGACTAAGAGAAAATATTTGCAAGAGATGTATCTTTTTTTTTCTTCTTTGGAGGGGGCACTCAGATCGAAGGGCCTATCTTTGAAGGACTTGTACCCAAACTATAGAAAGAACACTTTATACTCAACAAAAAAGAAACAAGTGACCCAATTTAGGAACAGGCAAAAGATCTGCACAGACTCCTCACCAAAGAAGAGAGATGGGTGGCAAATGATCCTATGAAAATGATGGTTAACATGATATGTTGTTAGGGAACTGCAGGTTAATATAATGATGAGATGCCCCTACACACTTGGACTGAATCCCAGATGCTGACAACAGCAGTTGCTGCCCAGTTGTGGGTGAACAACAGGAATCATTGTTCACCCGTTAGGGATGCAACCTGGCGCAGTCACTTTGGAGGACAGCTTGGTGGTTTCTGATACAGCTAAACATAGTCTTAAAGCACAATGCAGCAATTATGCTCTTTGGTATTTCCCCAACTGAGTTGATAATTTATACTCTCACAGAAACCTATGTATGAATATGATAGCCACTTTTTTTCATAATAGCCCCAAACTGGAGGCAACCAAGGTGGCTCTTCAACTGGTAAATATATAAACAAAGAATCACATGTCCAGACGACAGAACACTATTCAGTGTTTAAAAGAAATGAACTGTCAGCCCACAAGAAGACATAGAGGAAACTCAGGTGCTTGTTTGTCAGTGAAAGAAGCCAGTCTGAAAAGGCGACATGCTGTCCAACAGTGACATGATCCCCACTCTATGACATTCTGGGAAAGGCAAAACTCTGGAGACATAAGAATATCAGTGGTTGCCAGAGGATGGGGGAAATGATGGTGAGGATTTTCCAGGTGGTAAACCAATTCTGCTGTAATGGTGTATGGGTGACATTATGCATTTGTCAAACCTATAAAGTATGCAACACAGAGAGCAAACTCTAATGTAAACTATGTGTGTGTGTGCTAAGATGCTTCAGTTGTGTCTGACTCATTGCAACCCTGTGTACGGTAGCCAGCCAGGCCCCTCTGTCCATGGGATTTCCCAGGCAAGAAGACTGGAGTGGGTTGCCATTTCCTCCCCCAGGGGATCTTCCCGACCCAGGGATCAAACTGTATCTCTTTAAAAAGTCTCCTGCACTGGTTGACAGGTTCTTTACTACTAGTCCCACCTGGGAAGCCCAATGGAAACTATGGACTTTACTTGGTGTACCACCATTGGCTCATCAATTGTGATAAATGCAAATTGTTAGTAATAGGTGGTACCTAGGGGCAGGGGAGAGGGGTGTACATGGGAATTCTCTGTACTTTCTCCTCAATTTTTAAAAATAAAGAGGGAAGGAAAGTCTAATTACTGAAGCTGGCACAGCCCACAGAACTGGCTTCCAGCTTTCCTCACACCCCTGGTTCTCACCCTCATTTTTGGTCCCTGGAAATTCCCCCAGATGTTGAGAGAGAAGTTATGACTCTAAGAAGATGTGTGCTCTATTTTCTTTCTAGGAGATGTTTTCCATTTAATCAGTTTACAAGTTGTGGCTGGAAATGGAACTCAAATGTTCTCCTTCAGGTAAAATTTTCAAGACTCTCTGGTTACAAGTGTCAGAACCAACCTGAGTCAATTCATGCACAAAGCAAGTTTGCTGACTTGTGGAATGTGACGCCAAGTCTGATACCTGGGGTGGGGCAAAGGATGGGGTGCAACTGGACACACAGGAACCCCTACAGGCTCTCTTCCTCCAGCCCCCACCCCTGGGCACAGCTGGCCCTTCCTTGCCCAGACCATGCCAGGCCACCGCCAGCCCTGTGGACCGTCTAAAGCTTTGAGGGGGGTCGATGTGAAACCTACCTGCATAAGGAACCCACCAAGCTAAAGATGAAAAGCTTTACCTCTTGTCTTTTATAGGAACACAGGTCTGTTACAGGCACAAAACTGTAAAACCAAGGTAAAGTTGGAAAATGTACATTTGAGAAACGTTCCTGGCAGTTCTGGTTAAAAACTAACATAGTCCATCGATTTCCATTTTATATGTGACCTTAAAGTGCTTAAAAATAAAAGACATGACAGATGGATGGGGAGGCAGATACACACATACATAAACACACATGGGAATTGACTCTATAGTTACTTTTATGACAGATTTAGCACAGCCCCTCCGGTCTGAGTGGGAGGAATTAATCCCACTCACATGAAGCCGGTTTTCTCAAATTCAGGGAATTGGT